CACACACACACACACACACATCCGCCGTTGTGTTCTGGCATGTGCTTTGTCTCTGGCACTGTATGCCTGTGTGAATGTGAGTGTATGCAGTTCTATGTCCGTATCACTGCATGCATGTATGCAAGGGGAAGAGCTGAAGGAGAGTAAAGGGGAAAGGGAATGACTACAACGGATTCTGCATCTGCATGGGCCAAGAATTGCAGCATACGCATATGCATTGAGTGGTTAGAGCTCATGCAGCTTCAGAATGCCTCGGTGGATCTCTAGCAACAGGAAAATCTTCAGGTGTCTCGTTGTCGTCGGGGTGGTACAAATAAGAGAGCACAAGGTGTGAAGGAGGATGGGTTCTGTGCTTCTCTTTTTCTCGTTTTTTAAGCCTCCAGAATTCAATCATGGTGATGTATCCCCGTTCCACTGTCGTTCTACCACTCCACCTTTTTGACAGCCTTTCCGTAAGTGCATTCCCCGCCTCGTTCAGGCTCGTTCTGAAAACTTGCGTGATAGTTGTTGCAGCATGTCTTGCGCATGAAATATCTTTGCTGATAGAAATTGCCGGCAAGGAACACTCGTTGAACCAACACTGTGTTTCCCAGGTATCACTGAGAATCGAAAATGTGACGAGTAGTGCTAACAGACCAGAGGGGAAAAGAATTCCGCCGGGCTGGCCCTTTGGAAAAGTTTTGTGCGCGGGTTTTCTTCGGCCTCGGTGAAAAGAGGATCGAAGGTAGTGGTGGCTAAACCATGAATGCCTGTTGGAAGCATCTTCCCTCCGTGCCTCATTTGCCAGATATATAATGGTCCGTTGGGTTTTGCATCAGACTCGTTTAAGTTTTGGGTCGAGTCTCCCCCCTCTATAGATGGACGCTGAGCTGCAGCCTGTGGATATAGCATGCTGCTTTGGGAAGAGAGAGAGAGAGAGAAGCGGGGGCGGGTAGGGGAAGGGCATGACAGAGGGGCAATTGACTGTCTTTAAATGACCAGATGCACCTCCTGAGTGAGAGAGAAGGAGCTAGAGGGACTCTTCATGAAGGCACACCCGCTCACTCCCAGCCCCGCCCTAGACGTGTGTGTGTTGTGTGCGTGTGCGTGTGTGTGTGTGTGTGTGTGTGTGTGTGTGTGTGTGTGTGTGTGTGTGACGAGTCCACTGCACCTTGTGATGCAGCGAGCCGTGTTTATATAAGACAACATAAATAATGCCAATAGCACAGACATCACAGCATTGAACGATGTGTGTGTGTGTGTGTGTGATGAGTCCACTGCACCTTGTGATGCAGCGAGCCGCGTTTATATAAGACAACATAAATAATGTCAATAGCACAGACATCACAGCATCGAACGAATCACACCCTGATCCAAGGGAATATTCCATTCGGCTGGGTATGCACGGCCTTACTGACTTCCCTAAAAGAAAGATCCCTTTCCCAATTCAAGTAATTAAATGAAATTATTCATTCAATCATGAAATTATTCATTCAATTAAATTACATTGCGGGTAATACGGATCCTCTGCGATCCACCTTTATTGGTGGACTTCACCGGTATTACCTAAGCACCTTGCGATGCAGCGAGCCGCGTTTATATAAGACACAACATA